GCTACATGTCTGTCTGATACCTGTGTGAATGCAGGAATCCTTGATGTCAAGAGCCGCACAATGGTCTCTTCCAGGCAGGGGATTAAGTTCTCAAGCTTCCTGACTTGAAGAGCTTTGATGAATTTCTTCTGTTCTTTTTAGTGTTTAGGATTAGGTGGAAATTAATCCTTTATTGGGAATCAAGGAGTATTTCTTACAACTCTTCTAGCTACTAGAAAAGGGCATTAAGTATGCCTCCCTCCTCTAGAGTAATTTGCCCGTATTTTGCAAAGAAGCCTTGTGAAAAGATTTCCAGTGGAAAAGAAGGAAAAAGAGTTAAGAGGCTGATCTGATCTGATCAGAAACTCCATGGAGGAGCCCTGAAGTGCAGCCACAGCTCAGTTACCTGCACAAAGTTGACCCAGGCTGCAGATTAGTCAGCCATTTCCTGCTTTTAACGTTACTGCTGCCATCCACATGGCATAGCACCACGTGCTCTTCATACCTGCCCTGCCATACCCATTGCTGTTCAAAACCACTATTTCTACTAATTTTTACTGATTTCTACAAATTGTTCAAATGTGTATTCAGAGTCTAGTTTACGTATGACCGGAATGTGCCAATGCCCTCAATCTTGAGCAAGCTGATGTGCCGCAACCCTAAGCTTTGCTGACCTGCACAACACAAGCGTTGGTAAAGGCCACAGAAAAGGTTGGGACCAGCAGGGCACTGGACACCTGCTCGTTGGGCCGGTGTCACCCTTAGTCTGCAGGCAGGTGCTGCAAATAGATTCTGGAGCGTGTACAGCTCATCCCTGGCCTTTGTTCAGGCAGAGAAGAAGGGTTGCGGGAGCCGTCAGGGCACACATGTGGATGTTGAGAAAGCCTGTCCCCAGGGTCAGTTATTCCGAGGGGATTTCCAGCAAGTATTCAGTAGATTGTATGAATCGAGGGAGTTTGAAGACACTCCAGTAGCTTTTACTGCTTCAGGAATTTCATCAGCATTTTCCTAAGAAGGCATCAAGGGGAATGCTTTCTTATCTGTCCATGCGATCCTGTGGCGAAGCCTGATGTGCAAGCCCAATATTACATAAAAGGAATGGCTCAGTTAACCATAGTATGGTGCAAGAATTTGCCACATCAAATGGCACACACAGAGCATGATTTCCTATTATCCCTTGCTGTTTGTTTCAAGTTTCTTGACAAGGAGCCATGGTAGGTGTCATGAGCTCAAAGTCTTCCCTATTTTGTAACCAGCAATATCCCAAACAACACAAGGAATGTGTCTTTCTGGCAAGTGTGTTTATCCTTGCTCCTTCCTTTTGTATTGGGCCAGAGTGTATGATCTTAGCATGTTTTAATTTCCCAGAAATGCAGAAATAAAGAAAAGCTGCACAATATTTGCTGGGACTAAACACATTTTGTCTCACTCTCATGAAATTATTAAAAAGAAGTGAGGCAGATATTCTTGGATAAAGCCTGCTGTGTGGCTAATGATAACCAGTCTTTTGGTTTTTCCCTGTAGGCTATTAAAAAAGAGGACAGATGATCTAGTTGGTACCACAATGTTTACAGCTTTCTGCTGAGCAGCTCTGAGAGCAGAGTTCCCATCCATTGGTGCTGTCTCTCTGGCAAACTTCTTTATGGATATGCCACTGTATTTAAATCTCTGTGCACCAACATCCCGCAACCTAACTATGGCACAGAATATCAGCTCTTTGCAGGAAAACGTTTTTTAGAGAGATGCCAGAAAGAGAGGTTGGAGAGAGGAAAAAAAAAAAAAAACAAACCCAAAACACAACAGCTCTGCTGCTGGGATGAGCTCTAAGGTCACCAAGGTTGAACCACAACAGCAACTAAAGGACACCATCAAAGTAGCTCAGCACTTTGTCCAAGGTTCCAAAGAGATCACAAGAAACTTGTAATGCAGATCAGAGGTGTCTTGAAATCATTCCAGTGATATCATGTCTGTGGTTGCACTTAGTCAAGAAGCATCCACAGAGTTTTTTGTAACAAGATGCATAGCAACTTTGTCCCAGGACGGAGGCGTGATGGACTGGGACTGAGACAGCAGAAGGAAAGTGACTGGAAATGGATACATCTTCTTTTGGGGACAAAGAGGCACTGAAGAGAGTTCCTGTTTATAACAGCATTAATCAAGCATTAGCACTTTTTGGTTGGTTCCAGAGGACAAAAGTATTTCAGGAATAAACTCTGCATGGTGAACAGCTGGCTACAACTGCTGACACTAAGGGTGTAGAAGGAACAAAACCCAGTAGCATCTGAGGCCCCCCAAGTACCAAGGAAGGCTGTGAAGAGACTTTGCAACACAAAGCTCAGTAAACTTTTTACTGGTACCATTTCATCTTTTTCCCCCTTTTTATTTGATGCCTCACCAGACTGAGGGCTCTTTTCCCTTTCTTCTGCTGTTGTTAGACTGAACTTTGTCAGAGGAAATACCTGGAATTAGATGTGAGCTCTCAGTGGCTGTGGAGATGTCTTCACTGATGTGGTGCAAGGCCTGCACTACAGGGGACTGAGGACTCTTTGCCAATGAAAGTGATGACAAGAGGGGCTGGTGATGCAAAATGGACCCAGATGGTGCCAACTGAGTCACAGATTTTGACTGAGTCACTAATTGGCATGGAAATCTCTCTCAGGGGATGATGCTGAGGGCAATACCAAAGCCAAACATAGGGTCTGAATCTTCACCCTTTTAGTCAATGAAGGCTCTGCTGCCAAAGCCACTGCCCTAAACCTGCATTTGTTAGCCTAAATACTCAAAGCAGTGTTCAGCCTTGCAAACCTCAATGATCAAGTCCCCAGGCCTAACTGCTGTATTTTGCCACACTGAGTGCAAACATCCATCATAGTGGTGGGTATGAGCTCAGTCTAAGCACATCAGCGACCAAAAAAGGCTCCAGGGAGATGGAGTATCTTCTACTGCCCTTCTTCATTCATTGCAAATGATCAATGCTGCATTACGATGTCTGTGTAAAGACAAATAAATGAGATCTAACCGTTATAAAAAAAATCTTTGGAGGATCTATGGATTTTCTTGGGCTCTACACTGTGGAAAAGGACCTTCAGGCCTCCCTCACTGACTTCAGTGTGTCACTCAAGAGGAGGTGCTTCTCAAGCCAAAATGAACATGTAGAAGATCTCTGAGCTCAATGCCACAAAATGCAAATCCTCCAGACAAGTTCAGCAAGGTGGTTGTCTCCAAAAGGAACGTACAACTGCATATGAAAAGCAACTATGCTGTCTTAAGGTAACGTCAGATTTTGGAACTCAATTTCTTGCTTGGGCTTGTGCAAGTACAATCTGTGCAGCAAAAAAGACTTTATTTGAAATAGAAACATCTCTGTACGTCAAAATAACATTAAGGCACAGTCTTAAATCTGTCAACTAAAATTTACAAGGCTTTTCTTGTTTCATTTTGTATGGGTATTATGCTGGTCACAGAACAAGTGATAAAAGGGTACTATCAGATTAAAAATAATGTATTTTTTCTAAAAATTGTCATAGCTGTTATAACTAACACCTCGAGTTCTCAGAACTATGGTGTTAAAACAATCCAATTTGCATTATGCCTTTGATGATATTTGCTTAGTTGTGTTCCTCTCCAGTTGAACAGTATTAAAAGATTGGTATTTTTCCTTTCAATATTTTCCATCGTTAGTATTTAAAGTATTTCCTCATTTGAGCTTTGTTCACTGGTAACTGACTGAAGTCAAGCTGAGCTATAAAGGTTTTTTAAAAAACAACCTCACTGGAGTTTAAAAAAAACCCAACAAAACACTAGAAAGGAAGCATTTCTTTGCAGCTTAATTATGTGTATTTAAAGCTCCAGTAGAGCTGATAATGTTGTTTAAAAACTTCCCTCTACTAAGGAAGTTACAAATATAGCTGGAATTGCTATAACGGAAGCAACTCCAGAACAGCTCATACTTTCCTTCTTAACCTGAATTTTAGTGTTGACAACACAGGGTGTTCTGACCGTTTAGAGGTTTTTCCTCCATGACTCCATGAATTGCCCTAAAAAAACCTGCAACACGGGATACAGACAACAGATTTTCAGCTTTAACTTTCATCTTCTGTGTGTTTATATTTCTAACTCTTTCACTGGGAACACTTTTTTGCTTAAACATACTAACTCTTATCTGAAGATGACCAAAAGCAAGCTGGAGTAATTGTAGGTACGTGGTACTCAACTGATGTAAGTTATTCAAGGATGCCCCTCTTCACACTACATTACAAAGAAGCCTTTAGCTGAGGATCTCAGGATTTTATAAACTCACATCCACCCACAGAAAGTAGCCCTGCCATTTGCAATGAGGTAGCATTACCCCCATTTTCATATATATATATACATACTTATATATAGAGAGAGAAAGAGGGGTACAGAAGAGTTCAATTACCCACCCAACGTGTGCAACAGCACTGCCAGGATCCTGGTAGCCACCTCCCTCCTCATAACCCACGGACTCAGCTGCCCCTCCACAGCAGTGTTTACAGAAAGCTGTACTTATAGCATTAAGAATATAGAATAACCTACCTGCCTTCAAAGAAGTCCTACAGAATTAAAGTCTACCTAAGAGTATTCATGTTCTATTCCATGCCTGAGGGGTTCTTCCCTCTCCAAATACATATGAGTTTTCTACGACATCCAATCCCCACTTAGAAGTCCATGGTGAAAATAAACTGTGCAATGCTACAACATACTGCTCATAACCAACAACTAATGGGGCTCCCACAGTTGGCTGCTTTGGTCTTTAGCACTTTCTTTTTTGCCTGGATAGAGAATACCAATTCAATGGTAAGATGCTGTCGAGACCATTACCGAGACCGCATTTGGATAACTGTAACATGAGCCAAATACTACAAAAAAAAAACAAACCTACAAATTCCAAAGCCCATAATGACAACAACACAAGGGTTCAACAGCCAACAGGCTGTTCAATACCTAGACAAATACTCATTAATATGATCATAAAAAAGCTTGTTTAAGAAATTGCCTACCTGTAAGGAGAATATGGGTCAAAGCATGTCTTGGTGACTTCTGTTATCTCTGGGTTACAGCATTCCCCACCATCAAAGTTGTATCTCTCATAATTACAATCCATGTCACACACACCATTCTGCTTCTTCTTGTTGAAGAGTGTGTGGCGTACGTGTCGGCAGTCTCCACCATCATACCCAGTCAAGGTGTGGTTGCACTCAGGATCACAGTTCTCGTCCCCGATCTTGCTGATATCACAGTTGGCCAGGATGAGTCGATGGCGAAGGGAAGAGTTCTTCACCTCCAGCACTTCCAGCTCCCAGGTGATGTTGTAGCGGCTGAAAGCCTCATTTAAATGCTGATGCTGGAACTCAATCTGCTGCCGGCTGACGGTGGGGTTCTGGTGTTTGTCATCATAGAGATTTACCACACGGTAGCGAACGATTTTGTTGCGGCGGAAGCTGGGGAGCTTGTTGTAGCTGGCAATTACGTCCGTGTTGTCACAGACTGTCTGTCCGCAGAGAGGAGGGTCTAGGCTGGTATCCAGCAAATAGCCATGGTGATAGCTGAACTTGCTCTGAGGACTGCTGCCATCCTTCATGGGAGACCAGGTGTTTTTCACATTCAGTAAACTGTCTTGAAGAACTAGCTGAGGTAGAGGCGTGTCTTGTCTGTGAATTGCCTGGCCCATGTCCAACAAGATCTCCTTCTGAGACCGGGCTGTCCTCCAAAGGCTGAAGTGCTCTACGTAACCCCGATAGTTCTGGTTCAGGGCATTTCCTCCAACCATGAGCACCTTGCACTTCAATGTCAGAAGACTGAAAATGCTGCCCACTTGCTCTCCACTTGTGGCCACCTGGGCACCATTCACATAGAGTTTCATCAGGTGCCCATCATACGTGGCAGCCAGATGCACCCACTGGTTGGGGAGGTAGCTGCGATGTGCTGCAATGGTGGTTACTTTGCGAGCACGGTCCGTCTTCAGAGAGAAGAAATAGCGGGGGTCTCTATTCCCCTGGTCACTGACGGTGTTAATCCCCAGGACCCATCCTCGGTCACGGGAGGTGTAAGAACATTTGTCATATAGTCCTATGTGCCGCCAAAAAAGAAATATGAATAAATAAGGATGACAGAATGAAGAAATTAGACTTTAAATTGTGTAAATACATCTCTCTATATGTATATACACATACTCACCTACATATGTTAGAAAGTTAGTGTACACGACAGACATTAAATCATCTAGTGTATGATTGTGAGAGGTCGTGTTAAGACTTGCTATTAAAGGTCCAATTTTGCCAGTGACATGTGTGAATGGGATTCCCCTTTCTGGACCAAAGACCAAAACCCTTTTATGAATTCCTATCAGGAAAAAGTCCTACCGTGCATTTCATTCTTACCTTCACTCAAGCCATACATCACTGGTTGAAAATAAGAACAGTCTTGAGAAGCAATCCTTGTTGACCTCACTCATACCTCATACCTCTGAACCCTGTATCTAATTAGGTCCAGAGAAGAAATAACTGTAAAATCTAAGTACTGCACAGTTTGAGAAACACTGAGCAGCTGCAATAATCCAGGTACGATCAAGCACCCAAATCCTACAGAGAGTGAATGGGATGTGTTCAGGCTACCTTCAAATTCATACCCCATAAAAAACAGGAAGGAAATGGCATACGTTGGTATGCTGGATGTGCTGAACAAGGTATATACCACACCAGGAAAGGGCAACAGACATGCACGGAGGAACACACACATTCAGAAAGATTCTTGCCCCCTCACACACACACTTCATAACAATTTGGTACACTGCAGGGAACATACACTAATGATTTCTCTCATAGACAAAGTGTGGATCCACACCTAAAGCCCTCTCAACCAGTCTTCAGACATCTCCAAGTGGTGGGAAGAGTCTGCTCCTTCTCAGTTTGGGACACAAGGTTTGGCAAGTTAAAGACAAACACTTCCATCTTTCAGTTCCAAAAGGCCAAGGGCTGCAGGGACACCCCTCAACTGAAGAAATAATCGTTAGAGCCTTCAGCACCAAACGGCCTTTCTTCTATCAGCACATAGAAAGCAATCCTTCCCTCAGGCCTTCACTTCCAAAAGCCTAAACAAAAATCATAAATCTCTGACAGCTCAGCCCTCATGAAAAGACTAAATATCCCCTTACCTCACCCCTGCACCCTAACCCTCCCAGCACTACAACCAAATAACATCTTCTGCTTCTGACTAAGTTGCTCAACAGCCATCTGTTAACAATCACTCATTAACAGTGCAGTCTTGTCTAGTATCAACAGAGCAAAGGTTACAGGAGCATTCACTGTATTTTTCCTCCCCTCTCCCAGCACCCACCTTCCCCCCTCTCCTCACACCCTTCCCCTCTCCTCCTCCTCCCCCTGTAAAAAAAGTCTTCTGATGGGAAAGTTAAAAAAATTTAAACAGGCCTTTTTTTCTGCATGCTGGTATTTTGCTAGGGACTCTGAGCTCCCCCTTTTCCTGTTTCCTTTGGAAGAGAGATCCCAGGGTTCGGAAGGTAATGTGTTTATTCATCTGTAGGGCGCACTCAGTTCAAAACCTTTTCGAGACCAGCTTCTAGTTTATACTGCTACTTCTGATCATGAGAAAGGAGAGGAGGAGAACCAGGGAAGGAAAAAACCAAATATGCTAAAAAAAAAAAAAAAAAAAAAAAGACATTTGCTGGGATGGATATTTACCTGAGAAATTCATGATATGAAAGCCAAAGCTACCAATGACCTTCTGGAGTCTGTTTTTTAAAATTATTTTAGTTTTTCTTGATGGAATAAATGCTTTTACAAAACATTCATTTTCAGACATATATCAGAGCCCATAAACATCTGCATTTTTATGAATCTCAAATGAAGGGATTGTCCAATGATAGTGGGTGGATAATACTGCAATGAATGAGAAGACAGCTGGCAAGACAAGTCCCTCTTCCAAATAAGTCATAAAAAAAAAGTTATAAAAATCTCAACTTATTGTAATAAGACCGTTAGAGCTGGTCAGACATTTTGTAAGAGAGTTTTTGCCTGCCAAGAATTGCCAACATGGTGAGGGCAGAAAAAGTGATGCAGAAATAGGCTAGTCTCAACAGATCTCTCTGAGAAGGTGCAAGTCTTCAATATGGCCAGGGGAACCCTAGGGACTCCCTCAGGTGTTCTGACTGCAAGCACAGAAGATCAATCCATCCCAGCTATGGTCCCCACCATCTCCTGCCACCTTTGCCGCCAAACAACTGAATTCTCCAGGCCTGCAGACCACAGGGCAGCTGCACATACAATAGCTACTCCACCTGTTTCTTAGGGCATCCAAGATCCCTGCTGTTGGATGGATGGCTGGAAGTCCTGGAACAGGCTTCTGGGGTCTCCAGCTCTGGGGAAGTCCACCATACAGTCTTTAAGGGTCAAGTTTTTTGGCTTTTTGTCCTGTTCAGGGCTGGAAATATTCCCCCAAAGAACTAATAAATTACTGTGGAATGGAAATGCAGTTTCCTAGCCAGGATTAAAGAACATCTTCCTCTCTCTCTGAAGTGCTGCATGATGCTAGTGATTGACCTCAGCTGAACAGATGGAGCTGCTGGAGGAATACTACAGAATAGTAGCAATCCTCCCTTGCCTTTGAGCATTTAAACCCTGATGTGATGCAACGTGTCTTGAGTTTGGCTCAAACAGCTGCCATCAATTCAAGATTTACAGGGAGCCAAAGGAGGGCACAAAAAGAAAAAAAACAGTGACAATAGGGACACCACTGAACATGCCAGTATGAAAGCTGCTGAACTAAAACAGTCTACTATTCCAGTTCCTTACATTTTCTAGTTTAAGGCAAAGGTCATTACTGAATCCATATGCCACGTACAGTACTCTTTTCTCTAAGTTTTACTATTACAGACATCCAACTCTTGATGAAAAGATGGATTGAACACAATCCCTTCAGCAGCAAGACTTGTTTTATTCTTAAGAGAAAGGAAAAAGAGTCAGAAAAGAGATAAGAAACTCACACTCCCTCTAACTTGCAAGTCGTACCAGTTCTTTATGACCTTCTTTTGCTCGTATGCTGTACCTACTTTCCCAATCCTTCGCTTACTTTTGGCTTCAGACTACGAATCCTCCGGCTAAGGGAGTGTCACTTTTCCGTTTTGTCCCCAGCACAATGAAACTAATTTCAGCTGGGACTTTTGGATGTCATAATAAAAGAATTTATTACTTCTTCTATGACAACTAATAAGGGCAAAGCCATTGGAAGAGGGACATGTGAAATAATTGCCAGAACTTCTGAAAACTGAATAATTTGATGTTTTCACAATTTATTTCAATTTAGTAAAAGGTTCCATAGCCATGAGTTATTTCTCAGACATAATTAAGAACATTTTAAACAAGAGGCCTCTTTTACCCCAAACAAGGCTGTTTTTGAGCAAAATCACCCCTCACAATGGTTGACACTCTGAATTTCAAAATTCATCTGTGACCACAACCAGCATTTACATGAAAAACATACAGAGTTTAGATTCTCATTTACACTGAGAATTCTTTACAATAATGTGGTAAAGGACATTTTTAGCTACTTAATATCCCTTTACAAACCAAGAGTGGTGTAAAGAGGCCTCATGGTAAATGAGACTCAAGCCAATGACTGCAAAACCACAATTTGGCGAATATGCCTGAAGTTTCTGAGCCAAGAAATGGTGCGAAATAAAACTGATGTTTGTTTTCCCCACAGCAATTAGATTAAAAAAATATGTACAAGTTTCATACAGCAGCAAACAGTTTTCCTCACTTCTGCTTGCCCTGAGTTGCTAGAAAGGGATGGAGCTACAGCTGAGAAGAATACTGACAGCCCTTCTAACTCTTTAGTCTGATTTTTTCCCCGTAAAGCTCCTGTTCCTAAAGCTCAAGGGATTCAAATGGAATTTTATCTTTTATTAAAAAAAAGAAGAGGTGCTAGTTCAGCTTTCCAGTAAGAGGCATTGGTAACCTTCCTTCCCCACAAAGGAGTGAGTCACTTTTCAGACAACTCTGGAGAAGCGCATGGACAGAATAAGATGCCACATTCCGGTATGCCTGGCCAGAGACAGACTTTGATAGCCCATGAGGCTCCTTCCAGTCCCATAATGTTTGTCCCTTATAGGAAAAGTAAATTCCTAGGCATCAAAAGAGTGGGGAGAGCTGGAAAATTAAACTCCAAAGGTCCAAACCCAAAAGCCAAACATGGAAAACCAGAAACACAGTCTCTCCCTTTTTTTTTTTTTTTAAAAGTCTCAGTTCTTTCGCTACGGAGGCACAACTGCTCTAGTATACAACTGTCCATCTGACCCCTTCTAGGAGGCCCTAACCAAGGCCAGCGTATGATTTATAACCCAGTTTGTTCTCAGGACTTCACTGGGGACTTAGAGCCACATCCTCACGTGGGCCCTGTGCGCTGGGCAGGATTTGGCAGCACAGCGTGTAGCATCAGCTGCTGAACTACTGGAAGAAAGTCCTGGGTGAGGACACGAGGCATTGCTGGAACCAAGATTGTGATGCTGAGACTGGAGAAGATGTTTATCAGCAGCAGCCACAGAGAAACGGGAAGTCACAGCTAGAGGCTGTAGCTGCTGGAGTCATAAGTAGCTCTCTCTGCAGGCAGAATTTGAAAGAAGAGAGGCCGAAGTAGCCCATGCAAGCTGCTGTAATCCACTTAAATATTATCAATAACAGACTCCAGGCCTCCCTCATTCACTTCAGTGCAGTTTCTTGTGTCTTGCTAACAGCAAGCTTCCCGGTAATCAGCCCAGCCATAGAATTACCTAAGAATTTAATTCTTTATGCAGGAAAAGTTTCCTCACTTTGCTGAGCAACGGGAAGGGAAGAAGAAAAAAAAAAAAAGAAGAAAGAAAAAAGATTTGTTATGCTTTCCTTTCCAGGAGCCAAGAGGCTGGGGGAAGGGGAAGAAGGAGGTCAGTTTGACTTTGAACACATCAGGTGTGCTGCAGAGCCCGTCACAGTCGTGCAAGGCAGAACAGAAAACAGTGCCCTGCACTTCTGAAAGTTGGCCGTGCCTGTTTTGCTGGGAGACTACAACCAGAGGTGACA